ATTTCAAGTGTCGGAAAATCCAAAAAAAAAAAAATCCACTGAATCGTTGGAACCCATTGACATATATACCCTCCATTTTACTTGTGCAATGTCATTCTTACCCCTACCATCACTCAACCAGACAGCAAAACTAGGGGCACAAATATCATTTTCTGCATGAATTAAGCTATTTGTATATCTTGATTGGCATTTTATCATGTGTAAAAGTCGAGATCAATGATTTTTTTTTTTTAAGTATTGTTCAAATCAATGGCAAAACTAGGTGTTACATCGTCCTTATTTGATTCTCATTATTTTTAAAATATATTTTTCTCTCTTTTATTTTTGATCACGTATTTTTTAATAAAATAATATTACATGTAAATTCAAAATTTTTGAAGAAAAATGGGCTCAAACATGTTCTAAAATATCTTTGTCGGGGTAAAAACACAATCAATGTCGACTTTTTTAATGGGATAATCTACACAGCTTGCCACTTGTTATTGACTCATTGTTAAACAAATTACATCAAATCTAATCTTATCAACTTTGTATAATTCAAAAGTTGAATTAGGGGACATCGCAGGGCCGCCTACAATTAACTTCAACATTATTTCCTCTTGATCGATATGATGTTTGGCACAATGCTGCACGAGGATTAATTAATACATTCATTAGTTCAGCATCCTATCATCATCGGTTTCCCCGACTGATTCTCACGTTAGCAGCTGACACATGACGGAAACGCATATAATTATAAAACTATGTTCTTTGTAACAAGCGACGTATTATTTGCTCGAATTTCGCTCGAACTAACATGACAACTGTTTGAAATTCATCAAATAAATATTGAAATCAACCAATTAATGAAAAACTAAAATATCATATTAATCAACAAAAAATTGTTTTATTTACGAATTCTGAAAACATATTTAAGATCTCAAAAAAATTACTAATTCAAATGAGGTTCTATTTCTATGGATAAATTCAACTAAACTAGAAAACTAACAAAACAAATCCAATTAAGCCCTTGTTCGTTTCCCATTGTAATGCCAATTCTTATCGTTGCAACAAGGATTGGCCGCCTTTTTTGACAATTTTATCTCATAGTGGGACCCATTTTTTTGAAAAAATGGTAAAAAAATACATTTTCCACCTTAAAGAATGGGAAACAAACAGTGGCTAAAACTAAAAAGATGCAAAAGACAAAAAAAAATATCCTTGAACTATCTAAAAACATAAAAATGTTAAAAGGGACCCTCGGAAGGATGGAATTTAACCATGAAAGCTCAACAATTATCATCCCGAAAAATTATATAGAATTGAAAAACGCTTCTGGATTGTACTCATGAACAAAAATTCAACATCCAAGCCAAAAATTAAGCATGTTTTCGTAGATCCTCCTATTTTTTGTCCTTTTCAATTATTTATGATTTTTCTCTTCTAGCTATCCCGCATTACCAGCTCTCGTAACTCTTTTCTACAGCAATGGCCGATGGTTATACCCACAACACTGGAGACTCCAATTATTTTTCCTCTTCGTTTAAAGTTTAGAATATGAGAGCTGTTTCAAATTGGAGTTAGGTTTTGACTGTCATTGCGAACTAACATCATTCAAGTGTTCAGGTAATGTTTGCGGTCCTGCAAAAGTTTGCTATCAACCATTATAAGTAACTATAATCAAGCCGAGATCAAGGTCCAATTCAAATAGTAAGAATGAAGAGTTACCGAGTTATTGAACTGGGATCAAGCTTTGGGAATACATTCTACGCTTTTAAAATATAAAAATAAGGGTAATTAGTACATAACGTCATTACATTTCATTATTATTGTAGAAAACGTTTATACCTTCAATTTTTGACATTTTCATCAATAATTATAAGGGCCTGTTTGGTAAAGATTTTCA